TGATTTCTTTCTAGCACATGATAAAAAAATCAATTTGAGTTACTTCCAAATAATTAATCCATATAAAAACACATTTTAAAATATTATTACCTGAGAATAGGAGTATAATTGGACTGCCTGGTTCTGTTCACCATAAATTTAGCAATTTTCACTTTTAGAACTATCTTTTTAATATATTTAATGTAAATATATAAAAAGAGAATTTTTATATACATAATTAACCTTATTGAAATGTGAAAAATCTTGAAAACTCATCATCTTTCTAAGTGAAATTGCTTTGATTTGATTTGATTTAATTTTAATTTAAAAGTTATTTCAAATAATAAATTGTCTTTGTTTCTTTAAGCAATTTTAATTTAATTACTTTTTACATTTTTCATAGACTTGATGACAATGTATAACAATTAGTACAAGTTTAAATTTAAAAGCTAAATTCAGTTCACAATCAAAGAATAAATTAATTTCGTATTTTAGTTATTTTTCCAAATGAATTGATAAATATTTAGTTGTCTTATTTGTGCCTAAGATAATAATGAAAACGATAACTTTTGACTGTAATTGAAAATATTTTTTTATCCAAATCTTGTATATAAATATATACAAGCTAAAACCTCTAACAAAAAAAAATCTGATATGCCTAGTCTATATTTTTGACATGTGGATAATCCAAAAAATTGACATATGTTTAAAATTAATTATGCATTTAAAGTTTAAAATTTGATGGAAAAATAAATTTAATTTAAAATATCTTATTTTCATTATTATAAAATGCATTTAATGATTCTTATTAACATTTATTTTTAAATGATTAATTGACTAAAATAAATTAAGAACCAAATCAAGAGTAATAACATATTAAATTGAGAGTAATTTATGCTTGATAATTAGAATAGTCAAGTATAATGTGTATTCAATATGCTTGCAAAAAATAAAAAAAAAATTTGAAATTAATATAATAATAATAATAATAAAATAATTTGATTTGACATACTAAAAATAATTTTAATTGATTTAATCATCTGTTAGTTATTTTAAAATCAATATATTAAATATATATATATATATATAGCTTAAAAGATGGAGCGAATAGATCATATTTTTTAAAAAAATTGGAAGTAAATGCTATAATAAATATAAATCAAGAGTTAAATATTTATAATTGAAAAAATAGATATAAAATTATTTTATTTATTAATAATGACAATTAAAATTTTAATACCTTTCATATGAACTTAATGAGAGTGATTTAAGGTAAATAATAAAAAAATAAATGTAATCAATTTATTTTTTAAATTATTTTTTAAATTAAAAATATATCAAATAAAATAAAATACATTTATTAGAGGAAATATAGTGTCATAACATATAAGTTCACAAACCTATCACTCGACACAATTAAAAAAGTCACTATCAATTTTTTTTGTTTAAATGCAATTGGTACTATTTTCATTGAAACTTTTTAATTTTAATAAGTTATATATAATTATATCAATAGTATATTGCCTTTTACGGGGTGTTTGAATAGGGAAAAAGTTAGATTACCCCTTGAATCTTATTTTTCATAATTTGATTTTTTTTTGTTTGGCTCGCAGTATTTGATTCTTGCGGGTATTTTAAGATTCCCAATAGTATCCAAATGGTTCAAAAATAGAAACTCACCTCTCCCTAAGGTTTTTTAAAATTTCAAAAAAATGTAAAATTTATCTCACTTTTGACCTCAATAATAGTTTTTTATAATTTATTTTACCTTTAAATATTAATGTAATTATATGATAAATGGAGATTTATTCTGACACGCAAAGCTACATTCCTAGCATTTTTTACATACAATCAATAAAACATAACATTTTTTACATAAATATGTAGTTGTTGTTGGTAGAGTAAATATAATAGAATATTTATGATATTTTAACTATGTTTTTTTTATATAAAAAACAAAATATTTGATTGTCAAAAACTGCATATATAACAGCCAAAACGATATGTTTTTTAAGTAAATTTTTTTATGATTTATCAAACACTATGTTGTTATATTAGAAATGTGATTATATGTTATAATATGTTATGAAAAAATTAATTATAATAAAAACAACATTTTTTTAAAAAAAATGTAATTGATTTTGAAAAATAAGAATTTTGCATTTTATATAGTTTTAGAAGCACTATGTTTTTAACATATAAAACATAGTTGATAATAAAAAATAACATTTTTGAATATAGAAATTACAACATTTGTTGAAAATATGAAAAAAAATATTTTTTAAAATTCAACAAAGATTGCTTTTGTAAGATAGAAAAAGCAATCTTTGTTGAAAAAGCTACTTTTCTAAGATAAAAATGTAGTTTTTGTTAAATAAACGATATTTTTAAGCTAAAAAGATAATCTTTGTTAAAAAAACAACATTTCTAATAAGAAAAAAGAATTTTTGTTGAAAATATAAAATTTTTTTTTAAAAATTCAATAAAGACAATGCTTCTAGATAAAAAAAGTGATTTTTGTTAAAAGCATAAAAAAAATACTTTTTAAAATTTTAACAAAAATAATGTTCTTAAGATAAAAAATATAATTTTTATTAAAAAAATAACGTATCAATATTATAATATCAGATGTTATTCACATATTATTAAAAGATAATATAACAAAATATTTTATTAGATAATCTTACGTTCCTATAAATCAAATATAAAAATCGTAACAATGTCCATTACTAATACCTATCATCATAACTTTACACCTACACCTTACACGGTGTCATCATAACTTTTTATCACGTGTCAAGTTCAAAAGCTCCCATCTTTTAAATTAAAATCATCAACCCCAACTCCATCAGAGACACAACCCTTCCTTTCATCGCGTAAATCCCCTGCCACCCATCAATCTCGATGCCACGAATATAAATTGAATTAATTAAACTTAGAATCTAAGATAATAATTTAATTTATTGGGCGATCGATGTGTGAGATTTTAAATTTTAAAAGAAAATATGATATTTGAAGTTTTATTTGATTTATAAAATATTTCTTTTAAATTCAATCGTTTAATTGAAGAAAATGTTTATTTATTAAATTATATAATTGATAATAAATTTTTTGACAACTTAGAAGTAACCTTTTATTTTAATTTTTTTAAATCAGACGATAAATGATATTTTTATCATCAAATAAAATACATAGCTTTTATTTTTTTAAAATTAAATATATTTTATTAAGATGTTTAATTACACATTATATCATAATTGAGTTTATAAAAATATACAACAAAATTTTCAATTACAATGTTTAATTTTACATTATACCGTATTTGACGTTAAAAAAAAATAAAACCCTTCAATTACTGCATTTCATTTCAATAAACACTGTAATTGATATGTTTTAATAATTGAATCAAATCAAATTTTGAATAAAATCCAACAGAAAGTAAAAATGGAGTAGAAAGTTAAATTTTTCTCCATAAATTGCATGAGAGGGGAGTCAACAGAGACAGGATCATTAACATAGTGGCTTTTATGGAAAATCTGACGGTGACCTAAAATTTCAGACCCCGTTTTTGAAACAACCATGTTGTTCTTTTCCTCATTGTTTATTGGTTTATTAAAGGTAGAAGACCAAAACAAAATTGAATTTGGATGGGTTTTTATTGCCAAGATTGTGGGTTGAAAGGTAAAAGATTTGTTGGAGTGGGAAAAGAGTGGGAAAGATTCAAGGAAAAGATTGGTTTTGGTTGATGAGAAGATGTAAGGGCGAGTTGCTATTATAGTCTTGGCCATTGAAGACGTCAAAGGGTGGCTGTGGGGAAATTGAAACTGGTTTTTCCAAATAAAAAACGGGTGGTGACTGGTGAGAGAGGAAGATGGCAAAAACAAAGGGAAAATGGGCTTTAAATTTTGGGGCCGAATGCTCATTTCATTGAAATTGGCAATACAGTAACCTGTTGGAACCGCCCAAAAAATTGTCCAAATCATGAACTCGTGGTCCACGAACGATACTGTCTGCTTCGAGGTCACATTTTCGTTTTCTTCTAGGATGTTGGATTCAAAAGGATCTATTTGGTATTCAAATTAGGTTATGTGTTCATCTACGTTAACGAGGAGAGATGACAAAAAACAAACATATGAATTTGATCATTTTTTATTGATCTTTTGTTCAATTGAAAATTTTGATATCAAGTTGGGTGTTTGTAGAATTGAAATTCATAGCAAATGAAATTAAGAAGTGTTCATTTCTAATAATTTTACAAGAAAAAAAAAAAACAATAAGAAAAACTTTTTTTCTTTTCATCGGGCGATGTGGACCAATGTTGTGGTTAACAAATTGGAACGAGATTAGGATGGGAAAAAATTGTAACATGTACTATTTTTGGAGTCTTCGATGAATTAAATGGGTTTAATTTTAAAGACACCAGCATGAATAATTATTGGACAAAATATGGACCACTAGCTCCAAATGAAAAAAAAGGGCAATTAAGAATTTTTTTTTTTAAAGAATGTCAAATCTTTGAAATAATTAACAGAATAATCCTAATAAAAGAAAAAACAATTTTATCATAGATTGAGAGGAATAATAATTAAAATAAACAATAATTCATATAAATAATAACTTAAAACAAAATTTTCAAATTTATTTACATTAATTTTGTACTTATTTTTAAGTAAAAATTATTTTCTAAATATATGTGACAATAAAATATTTAAATTTTTGCTTGAATAAAATATTAAAAAATAATAAAAATTTAAAGAGAAAGAAAATATTTTTAATTTAATAGACTAAATAAAATATGTCTTTCAATTAAATATAATAAACAAATAAAAAGGAAATGTCTCACTTCATAGTTATTTGCCAAAAAAAAAAAAAAGGGTCAATGGAAGGAAATTGTAGTTTTTCCTTTAGAAAAATAAATAAAACTTGAGTTTTTATTTTGATGAAATGATTAATATAAAAACAATTACAATCATATTCAAATATTATATATATAGAATTAATAAAGATAATAACAACTCAAATAAACCAAACCAGCAAAAGATTTAACATATAATTAGATAACTTTAATATAAAATTAAATCAAACTTATATGACACGTAATGCAAACACACTTAAAGATTTTCCTAAAAAAAAAATTTAGAATTTTAAGTTTTAACCCACAAGCAAGTCACCAGTTGCTTCTTAGAATTAACAAGCTAGTTTCCGACTACAACACCACACGACACATTCTCTCTTCATATCTCGATTTTTTCTCTTCTACACTATATTTCTTTTGTTCTTTTACAAAGTAGATGAAATAGAAACTGATTTACCCATTTCATCAGCTGGCTGCTCCTTCGACATGTTATCCAATTCCTTGGAAAATCTTTCCATAGCTGGAGCTGTCAAACAAATTAGCATAAGAGTTCCAGCCTCTCCATTTTTATTCTTGGATGCTACAAGAAAGCTTAATGCCCCAGGTATAGCACCTATCCCAGCTTTGGCCAACCCACCATAAACTGCCTTACCCCACCCAAAATCAACGTCTACAAATGCAACACGGGTTACATCTGATATAACACAAGATCTCACCATTGTATAGTGGAGTCTTTTACCTTTAATCACCATGAAATCTGCTGCTGATTTAACGTATTCTTCGGTCACACTCTCCTTTGCTTGCTTCACTAGTTCCACTGCATATCCTAGCGGATTCTGGCAGAGTTTTCTAGCTGTTGTTATTGCCGCTGAGAACACAATTGCATTCCCATAAAATCCTGACGGTGATGGAGGATTCAACTTGGAACGTACATTGACAACGCATAGCAATCGCACCTCTTCATCAGGGTCAGGTTTTATAGCAATGGTTCGACAACGCCATAAACACGATGCTAAGATGTCAAATTTCGAACACTTACGAAGGTGGTGCGGTAGCAGCTTGCGAAGAGTTGAAACTTCTTTGGGGCCAAAGAAAAAGGAGCGTTGAACCATGTTTTCCGATAGGATGATAGTGCCTTCTACTTCATCGTACTCACGGTGCGTGAATGAGATTCGTGGTGGATCACGAGCATCTAAGAGGTGCCTCTCCCACTTGGGTGGGATTGAGGGAGCAATTGCACCACGACTCATCTCAGCCATGGCAGACATGAATTGAATCATGCCAGCACCATCGGCTAAGACATGGTTGAGGCGAATGGCAAAGATGAAACCTCCACATTTCAGTCTTGTTACCTGTTGATTAGTTTATTTTTCAACTCAGAAAATGAATATTTAACATAATTTTTTTTGGAACATCATCATGCAACGACTTTCCAATATTAATTATGAACAGGACGAAGAGAAGATGTATAAAAGTATCTAAATATAGAGTAATTAAATTGCATCACATATATTCGTTATTTTTGTGTAATATTTATTTTCATTTGTGATTTTTAAATTTTATTTTATTGTATCTAATGTTTTAAAAATATTTCACGTTCATAAATTTCATCGACTATCATTAAAATTAATTCGATAAAATTTATCATCTTAAAACTACATGTATGGTTAAGTCTAAGTGACAAAAAAGTAAATCTTTTTAACTTTTTATCTTAAAATTTATATCATAAACATTTACTTTTCATTATCGTGGTATATTTCGTTAAATTTATAATAATGATTGATAAAACAGATGAATTTATAAATAAATTTTAAAAATCATAAATAAAAAATATATATTTTACAAAAATCATAGATGTAAGATGCATTTTTCTCTAAAATACATAATAAAAGAAAGAAAAAAAATGTTTACAAGTACCATTATACTGGCGATCTTGTTGGAAGCATTCACAAACTAAATTATTTGTATAGGCTTGTAGTTGTAGGCTCGGCAGCATGACTCCGATCAAGCTTGGGTATAAATTTTTTAAGCCGAGCACCATCCAAAGATAATATTATATTTATTTAATTTTAATCTTAACTATATTTATAAATATTAATAAAAGGATATTTTAATAATAAATATAACATTTCTTATAAATATAAATACTCCCACTACCATCCATGTCAAGAGCAAGATGTTCCAAAAATGGCGTATGCCCGTATATGAAGCACATGCATGTAAAGGAGCTCATCAAAGCAAGGGAATGGTGGTTGAAGTGCATACAAGTCAATTAGTTAATAAAATGAAAAGTAAGTTGATCACGTTAATGCTCACAAGACCTTGGAGCTGTAAATAACCAAGTACCTGAATTAATAGCAAGGGGCAATTCAACATCCCTTCTGAGCCCGGAACATTGTAAAGGAGCTCATCAAAGCAAGGGAATGGCGGTTGAAGTGCATCGCCAAATTGCTCGAGTTTAACATCAGCTTCAGCCTCAATAAACAAGGCACCCTCGCCGGTGCAATCCACCGCAAGCTTGCGATTACGACCTTCCCTTAGCCTACCAGCTAATGGATAATAAAAAACTAAGGTTTGTGCAAGTGCATCCTTAATAACCCTTGCAGGGTCCTTCCCTTGCATGCATGGATTGCACCGATAAAATTGAATGACAGGAATCTGGAACCGGAGACTCTGTTGATCATCAATGTCGGATAATAGTTTATACTCGCGAGGTGTGGCCTTGGCCGGAGCAACAAGCTCGGCTTCGCTTCTTCGAATTGTAAATACTAGGGAAGTTGGCAGTTGTGCCATAGCACAAAACCTGTAGGATTTATGTGGGGTTAGACACAGATGATAGAAAGAATACTTAGAGATCAGCTGATAAAATGTGTGTTGGTTGTTTAAGCATTGTGGAAGTAATATTTATAAGGACGGATTTTTTTATGTAAGTTGAATAAAATTAAATAAGTTGGCAGGATTTTATCACTCAATATGTGAAAAATAAGCGACGACAAATCTTAAACATATTAATATTCACTGATATTTCTTTATTTATTGTTTATTTTTATACCTATTTTGTCTAATCAGCAAAGTATGTTTTCCTATTTCAAAAATTAAAAATTAAAAGCAATGTATGTTTGCCAAATTGGTTTGAGATTTTGCTGATACCAGTGAAAGAGACGTGCCCGCTGAATATAATATAATATAATATATATATTGATAATAAAAACAATAAAATGCAGTTAATTAATTAATTTTTGAATGAATATAATATTTATAGATTAAGAGAACCATTTGGGACATTAAATTGGTCCACATCCTTAGGGAGGCTAATTATTTTGCTGATCCAAAAAAGGAAGTGTACTGCTCTGTTTTCATTCAAACGTGGCTGTAGCTGAGTGCTTTGATGTTCTGATTTGAGATGCATTGCCTGGTTGTCGTTAAAGCTTTTTCCTGGAAAAAGCTGTTTTGTAACGACCTTTTTGGTTGGATAAAATTCAATTTTTGGTTGAAAAAAACAATATTTAATTTAAACAATCGAAATTTTAATCAAATTAATTGAATTTATTTTAATTAATTAATTTTTAAAAATAAAATTTTTAATTTAATTAATTTATTTTAAAATTAATCGAATCTATAAAATAAATAATACATCGAAATGATCTTCATGACTTCAAAAAAAAGTCGTGTACGCTAAAAAAATAATACATCGAAATGATCTTCATGACTTCAAAAAAAGGTCGTGTACGCTGAGTCCATGCCTAAATCAGGAAACTTATTATCTACCACAGTAATTACGTTATAAAAAGAAAAATTTTGTGAAGCAGACAAAGCATGCTGCGTCAGACGGATTTTGTTTTTTTCTCTTACAAAAATTGCGTGGTGAAATAAGCAGCGGCCCACCAATAAAACGACAAATTTGACACTATTTTCGCACAGTTAATCAGTCAGAATCTTTCGATCTGTCAATTATGAAATGAGAGTTCCACAAATTTTGCCCATCAGTATTAATTTGATTTATTGTTGTTTTCTCATAATTTTGAGTATATAAATGATTAAACTTAAATTATATGAAATAATCACTAAAACTAATCTATGATAAATTTAAATCTTTATTAATGCTCTTTTTTTATTGAAGTTTAGAGAACAAAATTAAGATTCGTAAATCTATAGTTAGATTTAATAAATAGAGTTATTATCAATCTTTTTTATTAGATATGATTGATCATTTAATGAATTTATTTTTTCAAATAACTTCTAAGCTTGACTAAGAGTCTTTAAAAGAATAAGTTTTGATTTATTAATCAAAACTGAATTTAAAAATTCAGTTATATATGAAGAAAGTTATAGTACCTCCATGTGCCCATAAAAAAATGGTACTATTTTATTTTAAATTATCTTAAGATCTCAATTATAATGATCTTAAAATTAATGTTAAATATTAGAAATAACTTTTAAGATTTTTCATCAATCTGGTAAATTTATTAAAATTTATGTTATCACCTCAATAGTACTTAAGAATCTCATTTATTTTTTTGAAGAGATTCCGTCGTCGAAAAAAATTTTAATTATTTTTTATTTTGATTTTTTTAAAATATATATAATTATTTCATAATTTGAGCTAAATTAGAAATATCTTTTCTTTTTAATTTCTAAATTTTTCACTATTTGGGCCTATTTAGAAATTTTCTTTTTAATTTTTAAACTTTTCACTATTTGAGTTTACTTAAAAAATTTTATTTCTCATTGGAAAGAAAATAATATGATAATTATTTTTTATTGAAATTTCATTTAAATTTTTTTACCATTTAGAACAAATTTAAAGAAATTTCTTACATAGAGATTTTTTAAGAAATTTACGATTTGAATTTTATAAGATTCTCATCCTTGGATAATTGTCAAATATTTTTCACCAAAAAATTTTATTTTAACTTATTATTATTATTTGTTTGAAAATAAATATTAATTATTATTATTAAAATTTTATCTAAATTATTCTACCATTTGGGATAAATTTAGAAAAAAATTTCTCACATAGAAAATTTATAGAAATTTATAATTTAAAATTTTTAAAAATTTCATCATTAGATAATTATTATTTATTCTCAAAAAATATTTTATCTTTTTTTATATTTTATATATTTTTTTAAAATTTAATCATGCAAAAAATAAATAAATAATAAATAATATCTAAAATCAGCTCTGTTTGGTGGCTGAAACGGTTTGCTTCAGACATAGATAACGACTGAAAGACGGGACTTAGGAGACTCGGTTCGATTGGAGGTGTTGGCTGGAAAGCGGGTTAATAGAACAAGTTGCGATTGGGTTGAGTCACCCGTTGGGAAAACATGCAGATCCTAGGGGCTGCTTAAGGCCAAAACGAAGTCATTTCAGTGAAAGTATAAAAGCTTGAATTCAGTTTTTTGGGGTTAGACTTCACCTTTGCTCTCTTTTTCTCTTTTTCCCTTCCTCTCTCTTTAGAATTCGAAAAACTCCGATTGAATCTTCACCGAATTTTTGAAAAAGTTGACAGAATCTAGGTTAGTTCGCCAGAAGTTCACCTAAAGATTCAACCTTTACTTGAATCTTCTACTGGGTTTTGAAAAATTAGTCAAAAAATTTAACCGTTACAAAAAAAATCACCCGAATCTGAAAATTTTATCCGAATTTGGAAGTTTTTCAGATTTTTTCAAAAAAAAAAATCTTCTTTTTTCAAACAAAAAATGTTCAAAAAAAGTTTTACTTTCAAAATTTAAAATTTATAACCTATTTATTTACTCCACCTTTTAAGCTATGTATATTCGTTTAATATGTATATATATTAATTTTAAAATGATTAAAAGATAATCAAATCAATTAAAATTAATTTTGGAATATATCAAATGAAATGAATTTCATTATTATTATTATTACACTAATTTCAAAATCCTTATTTTTTCATAAAGCTTTTGGCAAAAAAAGAAAATTTCGAATGTGGATGGCCTATACTATTGACATATAGACGATTTTGAAAAATCTCCATGTGTCCTATATTTTATTTTATTTGAATTATGTTTAAAAAATTAAATTAATTATATTTATTTTCTATTATTATTTACTTTAAATCTATCTCAATTAAATTCATAAAATTATTTTAGTTGCCATCATCATAGGATAATTTTGTGTTTTTTTTGAATTATAATATTCAACTCTTAAGTTACATTTGTGTAAAAAAAATTCACTTTCCAATTTTAAAATCTATGACCTATTTATTTATTTCACCTTTTAAGCTATGTATATACGTTTAATATATATATATATATATATTAATTTTAAAATGGTTAATAGATGATCAAATTAATTAAAATTTATATTGGAATATATCAAATAAAATGAATTTCATTACCATTATTACACTAATTTCAAAATCCTTATTTTTTCATTTCTCCTAAACAATTTAAATACAGAATATGTTTGATTATTTTAATTGTTAAGCATAAGTTACTCTTAATTTAAAATACTATTATTGATCTTGATTTGGTTCTTAAATTATTTTTAATTAATTAGACATTCAAAAGTTACAAATCATCCAATAAGTATTTTCAATACTCATCCTATAAATAAGGGTGCTTTGAGATGCTTAAGAAATAAATTGTTTCCTTGCAATATTTTTTTCCTGGATATTCCTTTGTCATGTAGTAGATCTAGCTTAAATCCTATAAATAAGTTCTCTTTTGATACAAAAGGTAGGAGAAGTAACAGTGACAAATGTCTATAGAGAGGCAAATAGGATGGCTGACTCATTGGCAAAAGCGGGGGTGGAGAGATCAAATATGTTTATGGCCTGGTGGTAGTTTGACTGTGAGGAACGTATGTAGCTGATTACTGCCTTTCAAGGGTTCCCTTTCTAAGATGGTGTTTAGGATTGTTTTGTTAGAGCTTGCCTGGACAGATCTGCTACTTTTTTTTTTTTGGTATGTAATGGATGGATTGTGGTGTAGAATTGGGGTGTTGGACTGTGTTTGGTGTGTAATGGAAGAGAGTTCAGTACTTTCTTTCGAAATATCTTTAACACATTAATAAAATCATACTGATTTAGCAAAAAAAAAAAAATTTCTTTCTTTTTGTTTGTGATGTTATATATGGATGGATTAGATGCACAAATTACTTTATGTTTGGTTTTGTATTATTTTTGTGTATTGCTTTATTTTTTCTTTGTGTTAAGAATTTTTAGGTTAATTTTTTATCATAGTTGTATAATGATTTTTTAAAAATCATTTTTTAAAAGAAATTTTAAAAATAATCAACATTTCTTGAAAAGTTAATGTTTTGGATATATTTTTAACTTTTGGCTATTGCTATTAGTTCTATTATAGTTTAAATTATACATGTATTGTATATATCTTATATATTTTTTAGTTTTTGTTATGATATCAATTTATATATCAAATTCCCATTATACTTTATCATGAAATAAAAGATTAAGTTTGATGATAAATTAGAGAAAAGTGATCACTTACCCTATCATATATATCAAGTATGCATTTTATTTTTTATTTATTGTATGAAATGAATTGATCTATTATTTTTCGTAGTGATGATTTTTTTTTGTTTATCATTATGATATTATGTTTGTTGTTTTGATATTATTACTCTCATGATCTAATTTGAAATGAAACTAATTACTATCGAAGTAAACAAAAATTGATAAAAGTAGGTCTTTAGTTTAAATTTTTTGATATATATAACAAGTGTTATAAGGTTTATGGTAAATAATAGTTATTTTCACCAAATAATTATAAAATAATGTTTATATTTACGTGTGCTTTATCATACATTTTATACTAATTTTAAAATTCAAATATCTTTTTTTAAATTTAAGTTTTTGAACACAGTCTATATATTGAAAAAAATAAAAATAAAATATGCTCTTCAATTTGAAGTACAATTATATATAAAGAATTTTTTTATACTTTAATATCAAATTGAAATCACTACAACATAAAA